CATCCCGCGGTCTACGAGAGAATACCAAGTTGGTAAATTATCACGCAAATAGTGTAACGTGCATCTTGTGTTAAATTATGGAACGTCTTGCTCAGAAGAATTGATTGGGGTAAGTGACACAGTAGCACGATAATGAGTGCGAAGCAATGCATATTTCGGGGCAGTCGCTCATGCCTTAATGGTTTGGTTTAAGCATGTGATTGGCTAAACCATCGCCGGCGAGGCGGACGAAACGTCCGATGACAGAACATGCGCATTTTACGAAAGTGGACACCGTTTCCTTCGGTTTATCCTGGTAAAAGAAGATGGGAGTAGATGGCGTATAACACACGTGGAGGGGTAGTTTAGCCCTTTCAGTCAGTGCGCACAATCTTATTGCTAATTGGCGGAGAGCCACGGACGGCCGACTGGTGCGCGGGAGGGAGAACAGATGGAAACCAGTGCATTTCTTATGACAACGAATCTGACATGCCAGAATCCACCCCGACGCGCTAAGAGTCGTGTCTTAGAAGGTCGCCAATTGACGGGTCAACTCAGTTCTCGCGGGAGTGTTTTCAAGCACCTGAATGGCTGAATGTCGTATTGAAATTTTTCTTTCTTAATGTTGCTTTTATGGCACCGTCATTCATGGGAGATGCGAGCCGTGCGTACAAAAAAGCCTGCTGCAAGCTGAGGTGACCGGATTGCGTGACAGGTGCGCATGGCCTATTTGGCTTTGTTCACCACTGCGCCTGCCTTCCGCCGTTTGGACACGGTCTCGCCATCGAAGCAAGGTTGAAGAAGAAGAAGAAGAAGAAGAAGAAGAAGAAGAAGAAGAAGAAGAAGAAGAAGAAGAAGAAGAAGAAGAAGAAGAAAGTGCGGGAGATGCCGCCCAAGTCTGCCTTGCCACAAACTAATTTTCAAACAAGTCTTATTTGCTGAGCCCACTCATTGGGCCAATCGGCAGACGCCGTCACTTGGGACCGTCGGACTGTTACTAGTAATGTTATGTACTTGCTGAAAGACGGAGGATAGTTATAGAAGGAGATGTCCTGTGGATATAAATTTTCTTGACCCAAAGAAGGCCTTTTAGTGAGTGTCCCACCAACGTCCCTTGCAAAAGATACGAGAATGTAAGAACTTTGTTATGGAGAGCGCAAGCGACGTGGAGTCACGGCCTAAGGCGAAAGGAAGACTCGACCACGCGCTGAACAGAGGACCAAGCCGGCGGCGTGGTACACGCGTGAGGTTAGACGGCCGACCGGCGCCGAACACGTCTGGTGGCTTTGGTCACGGGCGCGGTCCAATCAGTGGCTGGTGAACATCGGTAGAACATCCACGGGGGCTTCTCGCGCACGCAGTGGCCAATCCGCGACCGGCGCACCATGGGCAGGGACGTTCTAGAACGTCCTGAACGGTTGGCACGCCATTGGGCGGAATGTTCCAGAACGCACAGCGGCCAACACAAATAACGCAGCTTTCTGACCAGTTGTAACCCTTATCTGTTCGCAAGTTTCCAATAAAGTGCTTGTCACCCGAATCGGCTCTCTTCCTGTTCCACCGTCCTCCCGGGTCATAACAGGACTATACAAAGTGGTTCAAACCTATCGTAAAATGTTATGCGCATTGGATGGGATCTGTGCATGAGCAGAAAGGAATGGAAAGTACAGAGCATGCAGTCTCAAGGCATACAGGTGCAGCAGACGACTGGGTCTTAATAATACAAAAATTTAAAACTTGTTTCGAAGCCCTAAAATATCCCTCCAACTACAAGACAGTAAGGGGACATGATTTACAAAAAAAGGAAGCATGTCGTTTTGCATATGCTCTACGGAAGAGGATCCGATAGTAACGAGCATTGAGAATCAACGAAACAAAGTAACTACTTAAACTGTCACTTTGTTATGATAATAGTGAACGAACAAGAAGTCTGTTTATGCGAAAAAGCCGCCTTTGAACGCGTAGTAATGATGACCAATAAGAAAAACAAAAATACAGTGCTGGGATTAATTTTTAGAGTCTATAGGTTAAGAGGTAAGAGTTGGTAGGGCCGAATGTTTGGTAAAGCACTTCGGCTCCGGATTACGCTAGTCTGATCGCGAATGGGGGTAGAATTTGCTGTGGCCAGCCACATTTATTTATGTAGTTATTTACTAGGACGTCAGTTTCCGGACTGCGAATCCGGTTCGCCAAGTAGTTGTTATCTTCCAGTTCATCAATAGGCTTAGATTTACTCTTGATAGAATGTCAGAAATACTCCCGGATAAGGCAATGTTGGAGAAATGCGATTTCGTCAAAAGGTGTTAAAACACACAACGCTCTTGATCTCTGTCATCTGTGAACTAAGTACTATCACTTCCCAATTGAAGTTGGTCCACAAAGTAACTAACATCACACCCGGCTGTTTTCAGTGCCTATCCTTTTTAACTCTTTTCTTCAAGCTCCAACACACTCGTCAAACCACCTTTGCGTGGTCATCCCTTTACGCTGCAGAGGACGCTGGCCCACACGGAGGGCCGACGGAACGCCTTCTCGCAGAGATTCGTTGGAGCCTGCGACGGTCTCCGTTCTGCCGCAGTGCTTTCAGACACTGTTGAAACATTCAAATGCAGACTAAATAATCACAAGTTGAGAAGTTACCGTAAAAATAATCAAGATTGCATCAGTGGACGCAACTTGCGTCACTGACAATTTGTACACTTTCCAAAATAACTACTATAAAAATTGATACTATCGCTTTTTCGAAAAGGAATAGAGAGTTCGAGGACGAAAACCATATACCCTAAAAAGTGACTTGAAGTGACTAAAATTAGGAATTTCAGCGCGGATATCCAGAGTAAAAGTAGATACTGGCCTCATCGGGCAGATGTAAGGACTGGTAACAAAGATGGTGAAGAGTATTGAAAAAGGTTGGCGGGCTGATGGTATTCTTAAGCTTGCTGTTCTTCTCCTTTCTCACGAACCAATGCTAAGCATTCCGGTTTATCATCGGACCTAAATATGAGGACCTTTTCAGCTTGCAGACACAAGTCACACTTGTGGCCATTCGCCCGAAAGCGAGGAAAAGTAGCAGACTGGAATTTTCTCGTCTTCCTGAGTTTTAATATTTCGATGATCCACCTCTGCCCGAAGTTACGCGTCGTCTAAATAAGCCGAGAAATCAGCTTAGAAGTGCATTTAACCTTCCTTTTCGCGTATGACAGTATTAGCAATAGCATCCTTCTGTATTGAGGCTCGCAGCAATCGCTAAGCAGAGCTTTTCGTGGTATCTGGCTCAGTTTAGTTCAGTTTCCTAAGAAGACCGACTCCGACGTACTTCCAAAGTCAGTCTTCCGTCAGCGAAGTGATCGGAAACCAGCAGAAAGTGAAGGCATGTTGACAAGCTAGCTGCAAAAGCTAAGTCGTTCTTTGCTTCAAATTGACATTTGATATTGAATCTCGTTTGGAGAAATGCTTAACAGTGCACTCAGTAAACTCGCCGATTTAAGCTACACGTTATAAATCATTTCAGTCTCGAAGAGATCTTGCTGGCATGGGAAATGCAAATGCCTACGACCCAACTATGCGTAACAGAAGTTGGCTGTCGCTGGAGGGACTCGAACCACGGACTTCTCAAACGGGAACCAAAGCTCTTAGCCACTTAGCCACGTTCGGACAGCCGGATGAAAAAAATAATATATACTCGAAAAAAAAACAATTTCTCTTTCATTTGTAAGCTGTTTTCTATTCCCTGTGACAAAACTTACCGGAAATACTTAACTCGCTCTCTGGTGGGAGCGATGGACCACCGACCATCAATCCTGAAGAATGCCGTACACTAGTGAAATCGATCACAAATAAGTTAGATGCGACAGCTCGAACATCGCATCCAACGATGTCCACTGTTTGCTCCGCAGCAAAGTGATGCAGGCAGAGGAACTTGCGCCTGATTTAGTTTATCGTGAATGTATACTTGCGCTGCATCTGGCGCACTCTCTCCTCCTCCCCCACCTGGAACCGGTGTCAAGGCAAAGTCAAGAAGACCGGAGGCGGGGTAGAGCTCAGGTGGATGGCACGGTCGAGCCCGCACCTTGGCGTTCCAGTCCACATCCCCTCCTTCACACAACAAATGACCAGGATCATAACCAGGAACAAAAAAGGAAGGGCTGGCGCGGCCGAAGCCGCCCCTAGGCGTGCAATCACACCTGGCTCGGATCCCACGGAGTGGGAGTGCCATAAAGGCCATATAAATAAGAAGCCATTGCGGACTGACTTTTAGACCGCTAGTCAGCCGCTCCACACAAACACATAACACTGGACTGACTGCGAGGTTCATGTTATCCCGTCAGTTGGCAACCTTCCAAGCCACGGCTTTTGGTGCACCATGATAGCCTCAAACTCACCAGGATGTTCATAGTGAGCAAAATGCGCTGAGTCGTCGACCTCACTCTCCCTTTCCATTCACAGGCCCTAGTCACTGTCCGAGCCGATCTGCTGACAAGTGCAGGGAATGGGCGCGGTGGCTGACATATCTAGTGACCTTGTCTGCGCGCGCCACATGCACGACCTGGCCCACAAACACAAACCCCAGGATTTCGCTCAACGGGGGTTGAGTGGCGTACATAACACATGCGTAAGAGTGCCGTAGGTCACGTTAAGAAGCGACAGTTTCAGCCTGGCTCTCGGCCCGCCAATCAGCCATTCCACACAAACACTCACCCAACTGGGAAGACTGAATGGGATGAGTTGGGGCGCCGGCCAGCAGCCTTCCAAGTCACGGCGCTTGACGCATCCTGATAGTCTCAGACTCAACTCGCACATGCAGCAGATAGACCGCATGGAGACGGAGCCAGAAGCCGTATTTGGATGCTTGTGGTGGGTGATGTTGTGTAATGTAGATGGGGGAAGATGTGGTAGTGCGGTGTGGCCGGCGATTGTCTGCCATATGTTTATGCGAATGCGCATGTGGCCTAATAGGCCCATGCGGCGGGCGAATGTACGGGTGCAATGAGGGTAGTTAAAGCGGATATTTCGAATATATGTTAGTGCCGCAAGCACAGGTGCGCCAACCTCTGGGCCGTTCTGTGAGACGAATGTACGCAAACAGTGTGAACAGAAAAAATAAGCGGTGTCGGTGTCGGTCTCAGTGATTTTGGCGGCGGGGGAGCTGCCGGTGGTTGGCGCGCTAAAAGGCGGGGAGCGGGTTGGGCTAGGCATGATAGGTGCGCAGGATGTGCTAGGTTTTCCGAGGCTGCAGTGAATTCCGCTCTCATGAACACGCGTGTGACCTGAAAGACGCATTCGATGAGTGAATTTGCTAGGGCCATGTGGACAGTGGAGGCCGATGCGATGAGTATATGTGGGTGTTCCAGGCACTGTTCTGCCAGTCTCTGTGCGGTGGATTCGCAAGTGACCAGGCTGATGTGTGAGGTGAAGGTGCGATCGCAATGGGGACAGATATGGACCGAGTCCACATCGCCGGGGTTGGCGGTAGTGAGGTGGACGTTTGTCGGTGAGTCAGGATTGTTTGCAGTGGCGGTGGGTGCAAGAGCCGCTGTAGGGGATGTTAAGGCGACGGAGGAGGATGACAGTGGAGGTTCAGGCGTGCTATCAGTGTTGATTGGCGGTTTGGGTGCGAGGCACAGGTGAACTGCGGAACATCGGTTGGCGTCGTCCGGGTGCTGCAGTTGGTACGAGAATGCTCAGTGAGACCAACTGGTGACAGAAACGTCCGCTGCTATCATGGGCAGGTCGGGGGTGCTTGATTTTTGACGTTGCGATGCGGGGACAGTTGAGATCTGCGAACATTGCGTTTGACTTCGGCAGCGGTGATGCGGTTGGCTCCGTAGATCCCTGCGCTGGTCTTCACAGTTCTCCGCCAGGTCGGTCGATCCCGGGCGAGATCTGCCCAATCAGCCGGGTCGATTTGCAGACCTCTCGGGGAAGTCTTCAAGGTATCCTTGTGGCGCCGGACTTGGCCTCCTTGGCTGCGGGATCCCGTGGTGACATCTCCATAGAAGAGTCTTTTGGCTAATCGCTGGTCGTCCATTTGCCCCAGATGGCCGTTCCTGCAAGTTTGCAGTTGTCTCAGCATAGCGTAGATGCTGAGAACTCCCGTCCGTTCCAGTACGTCCGTGTCCGGGATCCTGTCCTGCCACCTCAGCTTCTACATCCGTGGGAGACAGCTGAGGTGGAAGTGGTTGAATCTTTGCGTTTGCTTCTTGTACATCGTCCAGGTCTCCTCTGCATACAACAGTGTCAGCAGGATGACTGCTTTGTACTTCTTTAGTTTAGTGTGGAGGTGAAGACCGTGTCGATTCCAACCAGTGTTTAGCAGGCGCTGTAGCCTTGGCTGGCATTGGAAATCTGGTGGGCCACTTCATCGTTGGTTATGGTGTTGCGAGAGAGGGAGCTGCCCAGATAGATAAAGTTGTCCACGGCTTACAGTTGGGCGCCGTTTACGTTGATTTGGAGTGCGACGCAGGCGGCGTCGGGTGGCGGTTTATGCACAACCACCGCCTTCTCCATGTTGATGATTAGGCCGAAGTTATCACAGGCGGGGTCAAAGACTTCTATGCTTCTTTGTATGTCTCCCTTGGAAGTGACGTTTAGAGCGCATTCATCGGCTAAAAAAATTGTGGATACACACGACATGAATTGCATCCGCCGCTGAGTGAAGAGTTGACCGTCCGTCCTGTGGGCGACTCGGATCACGGGGCGTCCGTCACGGTAGGCGTTAAATAGCATGTCAGAGAACATGGAACCTAAGAGGGTATGCGCGAGGACGCAGCCTTGCTTCACTCCGTCGGCTACTGCGAATGCCTCTGAGGTGCATCCATTGTCCGTGACGCGCGCCTTCATGCCCCGTTGAGCTGACGCACCATCTAAGTGTATCGCCCCGGTCAGCCGAATGTCTGCATTATTTTTCACAGTACTTCGCGATTCACTGAGTCGAAGGAATTCGTTAGATTCACAAAGGTTGAGTAAAGGTGTATCCGCATCTCCTGACACTTCTGCAGTTGGCGGGCAGTGGAGATCATGTCGGTGGTACCGCGAGGACGGTGGAAGCCGCATTGGCTTTCCGGCAGGAGACCCTGTTTCAGGGCGTTATGCAGTCGGTTGAAAAGGATGTGAGCGGAGATTTTTTCGGCGATGCTGAGGAGGGTGATGCCTCATATGTTGTCGCAGATTTCGCGGTCCCCTTTCCGCTTATAGAGGTGGACGATTGTGGCATCCTAGGAATCCTGCGGGACCTCTCCCTGACACCACATCTTCTGCAAGACCGCTGCCAGGTGTTCCATAAGTTGAGGGTCACCGTACTTGTTGATCTCTACAGGGATTGCGTCCGATCTGGACGTTTTCCCGCTGGCGTCGATGGTTTTGTGTAGGGGACGCGAGGTCGAGGTCGGCGTTGGTCTCCACTTGAGGCAAAAGGGCGATGGCGGCGTCGGAAATGGTGGTAGGACGATTATGGACGCTTCTGAAGTGTTCGGCCCATCGCTATAGAATTGTTCTTGTCGGTGAGTAAGATAATGCCGTCAGCACTGAGAAGAGGAGCAGCACCTTTGTCCGTGGGGCCGTAGACAGCCTTGAACGCAAAGAAGAAATTCTTCCATTCGTTGCGATCTGCATACCCCTGGACCTCCTCGGTCTTGCGAGCCGTCCGAGCGTCCTGCATTTCACGCAGCCGCTGTTGCACAAGGTAGCCGCTACGGTAGAATCCTGCTTTGTTGTTGATGAGGAGGCTGACGTAGGCCTTGTGCAGGCAGTTCATTTCGGCGAGCAGGTTGCTGACGGCGACGTCGTTGTCATCAAACCAGTCCTGATGTTGGCGACGTGCGCGACCGAGGACAGCCAGAGCGCTAAAATGGATCGTGTCCCTTAGCTAACACCACCGATTCTCCATGGAGGCGTTCTCGTCGGCGGCCGCGGAGATTGGAAGGTTGGCCAACCTTTGGCTTAGTTCATTGCTGAAATGAAGATGGTGAGCAGGCAACGAGAGCAAAGCCATGTTCAGATTATCTGGGGATGGCTTACCTTGAGGTCTCCTGCGCGGCTGTAGGCGAATCCTCATCTTCGAGATGACGAGGCGATGGACAGTTCACCAATCGGCACCTGGGATAGCCTTTGTCATCAGCACGTCCTACCGGTCTCACCTCCGGACGAGGAAATAGTCCAGCAGATGGCATTGTCGCAACCGAGGATGCGTCCAGTGGGTTTTCTCCGCATCAGAGGGAGGAACGAGGTGTTGGATAGAATGAGACGGTGTTCTGCGCAGATTTGCAGTAAGGGTAGGCCACTGTCATTGGAGACGTCGAAACCATGGGAACCCAGCACTCCTCCCCAGGCAGCACAGTCTGTGCCGACGCAAGCGCTGAAGTCACCAAGGACAATCAGCTTATCCGCCTTTAGCACAATCGCTAGCAGGGCGTACAGGGCCCCTTAGAATTTGTTTCTCGCCTCGTCTGGGCTGGCCATCGGGAGTGCGTGGACACTGACGATTGTGGCAAATTTGCCTCCCCGTAGAGGCAGGCGGAGGCTCATCAGGCGATCATTGATGTCCTGCAGCAGACAGAGCTGTCGTCCCACGATGTCATTCCGGATGGCAAAGACAACGCCCACGTCAAGTCGCTCTGCCTTGGGGTGACCGCTCTAGAAGAAGGCGTAGCCGGCACTCACTTCCTCCAGTTGGCTTTGTTCGGAGAACCGGGTCTCGCTGAGTGCGGCGATGTCCACCTTGTAGCGCGCCAGTTCCCGAGCCCCTTGCGCCGTCCTTTGTTCCGGTCGGTTGCTCTTCGGGTTGTCTAAAAGAGAACAAACATTTCAGGCTGCCAAGATGAGCGGTCTCATCCTACCAGCCTGTGGGATGGGACAACGAAGAGAAGGGCGAAGAAAGGGAGTATTATTTATGACTTAGTTGTCTTGACCGTGTGCTTTGCATCGGCGGTCACGGTCAGCCTGTAGACGCGTGGATTCCAAGCATTTGTGTAGGGCACCTTTTCTAGCCCCTCCCCCTTTGCGGGGTCGAGCAGCGCTCTCCCTAAATAGCGCTGCTGAGTAATCCCAGACGACTATCGAACTCCATCATGGCCACGACTTTTGCGTTTGGTGGGAGAAGGACCCGAGTTAGCATGGGACGTCTACGTGCTCGCTGCCGCCCCCGTCGTAGGACTTTTTGAAGGAGGGAGGCGGAGGGAAGGGGAAGGAAAAGGTAGAGTGTCGGGAAGCAGAGTTCCCCATCCCTCTGTAGGCTAACTGCTTGCTGGAATGTAAACGGTGGGCAGACAAATTCAACAGAGAGGCGGTTAGTTTACACCATGGACAAGCAAAAACAAGCAGACAGAAGCAAGCAAGCGAGAACAAGCGGAAAGCAAAGACAACAAAGTAAAATTTAGCTTACTGGGGAGGGTCACTTATTTTGTGGCCCTCTGCAATGTTGCAGATGGTGTGTCATCTCGGAGATGCCCAGGCGGTGATTCCTCCGGCCAGCGATGATGGGAGTGGAGTCGAGTTACTGTAAGTGGAGATGCACACACGGTGCATGCCAATGCGCTGTGCCAGCGCTACTAGAGAGATCTGGATAGTCAGTGACCCACCGTAGATCGCTATAACCCTGGCATTCTAGACGCAACCCTGGTTGTATCTATTGCTTTGTTGTTGGGTCGAAAACACGACAGTTAGGGCGCAATCCTATGTGTAGTTTCACTTGCTTGTATTTGTACAGCGTGGGGACATCCCGCGTTCATAGAAGACGTAAAGCCGCACAACCAATGCTTCTACTGAAAATGTGGTAAAAGTGTCGACAGTGAATATTAGTATTCTCTTCCTCTCACTGTAAAATCAAAAAGCTAAACATTTAAGACCCAAAAACCAAGAACTGCTAATCTCACAACTTTGGAGGCCTTAGCAACGCCTCATGGTCTATGCGAATTATGGAAGTCTTGGCGAAGAGCAGTGGTGTGATATGTTTGAGAAATGGGACAATTGTTAGTATTTCCCTTCGACAGACACAGTAAATTCGTTATGTATTTGAGAAAGATGTAATAACCAACAAACTGACCGTTCAGTTTCCTAATTGTAGGCCACGGGTAGTATTGTGATAAACTGCAAATCGGCTAACATTTCGATCCACAATGCAAGGCATTGTGTCCAGTTATTTGCTGGGTAGCATTAAAACGGTCGTAGAACAAATTCGTACTCTCATATAACCAACGGCCGTCGGACATTCATCTTATCAAACAAATTTCCCTTTCCCCCTAGGCCGATGATGGGTCCGCATAACTTCCGCAAAATGAAGTATCTATCGAAGGTTATGCGAAGTATGACTGACAAAGATTCTTTCTTCGGCAGCAGATGCAAGCACTGATCACTTCCAAATAGCGTAAACCTTCCTGGGAGACGCATGTGCCGTCTGACTGGTTTCGTAACCAAGATACGTAGTTTTCTGTGGACGAAATGTCGTTTTCTGGCTTAGGTTTACACCATTATTCAGTTATGCAGGCGATAGTTCGACCATCGTTGCCAACGATGTTTAGCGTGTGCTCCACAGCACGGTGAGGGCAGGGACGAAGAGTTTCGCGCGAGTAAGTTTAAAGTGATGGTAGACTTGTGAAGCATCCACCGCACTCTCTCCTCCTCCACCATGATCCGATGTCAAGACAGAGTCGAGAGGACCAGGGGTTGGAGACGATGCGGGTGACTGGCATGACGCGAACCCTCACCTAGGTGTACCAACAGACCACATGCTACGCAACTTATGCTGACCAGGATCGTACATAACAGGAGAAGAAGGAAGCGGCTTGGATTTCACGGGGTGGGAGTGCCTTAGAGGCCACAAAAGAGGGAGCTATTGCGACTTGACTGTCGGTCCACCAGGTTGCCTCTCCACACAAACACCCAATGGACCAATTTCAAGGTCCGAGTTGACAGTTGACAACTTTCCGGGACGTCAAAGATCATCAGTTAAGTCGTATTAAATCATTCCGCCGCTGCTTATTTCCAACAATACCTTCATTACAGAAGAGTCAGGAAAAACAGATACGTTGAATTCCTTCTTTGACAGACATTTTGCCATTGAAACTGACCTCAGCCCCTCACTTCCTCCGTTGTCTGATGCTCCGCTCATTACCATTAATTTTGCTTTTACAAATATTCGGGAAATGATCAACCAGCTCACTGATTTGCACTCACTGGGAACTGACAACATTCCGAACTCTCTTATAAATAATAGTAATAATACTAATAAATGCATTTGATGCCAGTTTACAGGCACTGTCAGGAAATGATTAAGCAAAATCCGGCCAGCAATGAAAAAACTCCTGGCGGAAAAATAAACGGGATGGTGTTTTTATATGGGTTGGAGGGTTTAGGAGAAAAAACTACTGCCCTTTAAACGATGACAGACAATAAAGGTAGGGGCGACACTGCATCTGATATTTTCAGTCGCCATTCCTTTTCATGAAGTTAGAACTGGATCAAACAGAAGCATTGAAAAATAGTTGTCGCTGTTGGCTAAAGAAATTGTCCCTGGTGAAACCGGCCATAGAGTTCAGAGACCACAAACGCCATCTCAACGATTAATTTGATCGATGAATTCAGCACCCAAAATTTGTGGGGGTGTTTCTGAATGCAAAAATCTAGTAATAGTTCTCTTAAATAAAGGATAATTTTGCAGAATTTTTACATTCCTGGGTAGTTTATTCCAAATAGCAATTGCATTTACAGAAAAGAACCGACGATATTTAGCAGTACGTGCTTGAGGAAGAAATAAAAAGACCTCACGGTGACTCTTACATCGGGGTGAACATGATGTCTTTAAGTAGTGAGTGCGTTAAAGGAGCGATTATATAAAAGCTTACATAGTAAAAAAAATAGTCTCTTTTTAAATCTAGGAAACAATAAAGGATCAAGGTCCACAAGCCCGCAACGCTATTGGTAAGACAAATGTCGGTGTTCCAGGGCTAAGACTCTCTTGCTAAAAACGTTGAACGGATTCTATTTTCTTCCTCTTAGCAGCACACATGAGGCTAAATAAAAACGAACAGTATTCCAGGCCAGGTCTAACGTACATATTATAGAGGCGCATTCTAATGCCCCTAATTTTAAAATTTCGGAGGAGACTGTCAAGGCACAGTGCTCCGAGAGATTGAGAGTCTTAGAGTATGATACGCCCAGATCCTTAATAACCCCATGCAGATTTATGTCGTGGCCGTCAATACTTACTTGACACTGGTTGTCGTCGCAGACCACCATGAAGGAGCACTTATGCCAAGAGAGAGAGAGAGAGAGAGAGAGAGAGAGAGAGAGAGAGAGAGAGAAAGGCGCCATGTGCGGCATCGCTGGGCAAAGGCCTGTAGGTCGCTCTTTAGAAGTTCAAGCATGGTGTCACGATCTGCCGGCTTATATCGATATGCAATTTTCAGATCATCGGCATACATGAAGGGCTTACAATACTGAAATAAATCTGGTACATCGTTGACAAAAAAGGCAAAATAATAGCGGATCGAGTGCAGTACCCTGAATGACTTCACTCCTTACGCATGTGGTGTTGGAGATATTATTGGAGATCTTAACTCGTTGTGTGCGACCGCTCAGGTAAGAGGATATAAAATTCAGAATTTTGCCACCTATTCCAAAAGAGGACAGTTTCAAGAGAAGAAGAGGGACATGTCCAACATGATCAAAAGCCTTAGTGAAATCGAAATGTACTGTGTAAAGTGCAAAACCATTGTCCGTGTATTGGAGAACGGGATCAAAGAAAGACAGCTGACAGGTGTCTTAAGACCGAGCCTTGAGCAATCCATGCTGTGCAGTGCTCAGTAGGTCATTCTATGTTAAGTGACACATCATCTTATCTCCATGATTTTCGAAGCTGCGGGACTACTGCTCCATTGAATACGGGACATTTGTCAAGCAGGCGGAATTTCATCGAAAGACGAGTTGGTAACTATTAAAGAAATTAGCCTCTTCGAGGAAATTCATAATGTTCTTGACTATTCTCTCCATAATATTGCAGCAAACGCACGTTAGGTTTACCGGCCGATAGTTGTTTGCACTTGTTCTAGACTAACCCTTGTAAATGGGATATAAATTTGCCACCTTCCAGTCGGAAGGGAGAATGCTTTGGTCAAAGGATGACTGCAAAATATGTAAAGCGGCCTGATGATTTTGCAAGCCAGCTCGTTCAGGA